TGCGTTCAAGGAACTGCAGTCTCCATTGCATCTGCGTCATGAGTTTTTGGGGATCCCCGGCCAGAAGTTCCTCGCAGTGTATTCTCTTCTCATTCTCCAATCTGGCCTTCACCACCTGCCAAACATTCTCGATCGGATTGAGGAACGGAGAATATGGGCTTAATCTCAGTATGGTTACTCCATCGGATCCATCTACTGACGACAGTTGATCCAGTCGTGTGTGACATGGTGCATTATCACATACCACAACAACCTGCCGAAGCTCCATCTCCCGTTTCAGGTTGTCTAAATAGCTTCGCAGCCATTCGAGAGATAGGGAACCTGTGAATGAGCCTCTCCGGGTGGTCATCAACACTTTCCCTTCCATCGTGAGTGCACCGATTAAATGCAAATTGTGCCTCTGCTGTTGGCAACTTTGCAACAGGCCCTCACTCCTCTGGGCGCCCGACCACGAGTACGTTTGCAGTAAACGTTGAAGTTCGCTTCGTCAATCCAAATAAAGAACTTGACATCGCTTTCAAGTTGGAGCAACTGCTGAACGAATTTCCTGCGTATCCCTTTGTCTCGCTCATTTTTCATTCCCTCGGGAACCTTATAGATGTTCTTCATAGTTCTCAATCGACCATCTAGATGCCGTGCGATTGTTGACTTCGAAATGTCCTTGTTCATTTCTGCTCGTACTCGTACTCACATTTCCCGTAGCGTAAGAGTTGAGTCCCTTGCAATCCAATCCAGGATGTCATCTACGTCTTCCTCCGATAAAATCCGCTTACGACCGCGCGCCTGCGTAATACTCGGCTCCTGATCAAGAGAACGACGAATCCAAGAGTAGGCTGTTTGATATTTGATGTTGTTCACAGTTGCCACAAGCTGCCAGTCATCACCGTTGACGAAAGCGCCCAGAACTCGGTCAAGAATGTCTGATGAGATACCCTGTCGAACGCGAGAAGGCATGCCGACGACGTTAGAATCATAGACATGGTTTCGGTCGTGCGCTTATGTCCCAGCTGTTCATTGCTCTCAGACCAATTGTGATCCATCGTTTCGGACGTGAGGGAGGCGCATACAAGCCCGTTGCACCGTCGAAGTGCATTCCCCTAAGGTTCATTCACAAGTGTCAATCAGTCAACGGGCAGCGCGCTCACCTCCCCAGACTAACGTACCGAACCTTGGCATCTGGCCAATGAGAACACACTTAAGGTCAGAGTATTGGCTCTGACCGGCTGGCTAATCGCACAGTGTTTTGCAACATTTTAGACTTTCTCTGCAAAGTTTTGGACTTTCTTTGCAAAATGTTGCTCCTTCTTTGCAGAATTTTGAACTTTTTGTGCAACTTTGCGGGAAACGCTTTAGACCCTTTATGCAGCTGATCAGTCGGGGGGAGGGGGCTACATTTGACCGCGATAATTTTTGTCCCCATAATTAGTGCCTCTGATCCCTTGGTGCTTCTCACATTGTAGGCTTATTGCTCAGGAATACAACCTTCGAGAAGAACCTTGGAGTGCATGTTTCGCCAAACCTGCGCACACCCGAGGACACCTTGCAGAGTATTGTCGCTGCCAATAGGATGTTCTTTGCTAGCAGATATTTTTTCTCAAGCGGCCCTTGCTATCGTATATAATACTGCTGATGGCGATCAAAATCCGTCTTACTCTCATCGATTTCAAAGGATGAACTAGGTTTCCCGGAACTGTCATCGGCGTCATGGTGACCTGATTTACATCTGACGTAGTCTGCGAAGTGCGATGGAGAATGAGTTGCGGGAGTACTTTCACCTTTGTGCGGAATATTAGATACACTACCATTGTTTTAAACTGTTTAAATCGAGAACGCTTCGAGTTCGTTCCCATGTTACTGTCAACTCGAGTGATAAATGACTGGAACAATCTGCCTGAGCTTGTCATCAGTGCACACACCGATGGATTTTTCAAGCGATTGCTAGCCACCTGTTTGTTAGACAAGCATGGATCATGTGTTCACTGCGGCCGTAGTGGTCCCTTGTGGAACACTGCCTCAACAACCCACGTAATCCCTGCAGTGAGCATGAAGTGATGAGCTGACAAAAGCTATATTTTCTACTCTCCACAACCCAGTGGACCCCTTCAGACTACTTAGGCTTAAGTGACCAAAGCTCCCCCGAGCCAGTACTTTATTCCTTTCATCTCCATTTATCTGTTTTTCGTATTTACGCTTTAATCGTAACTGCTTTTCTTAACCCACTTGCTCCTGCTTGCTTCTCTTCGTTCTCAATCCAACCGGTTTACACTATACCGTCCACCGTCTCTTCTTCCCACCGCAAAACACTCTGTTTCACCTGCTTTACTTGGGTACTCTGCTCCTCCTATTTTCTCATCTCTTAACGCTCGCCCGCCATATTTAACAGTCATTTCGCCCTTGCTTAGTGCACTTGCACCATGTACCGACATTAAACACCATCACCTATGCTTTGTCCGATTCCACAGTGTGGTTGGCGACACTCGTTTCCTTATTTATCTATCACTGAGGCTGCGAATGGTCACAGGACGCCTACGCCCGCTGAGGGTCCATGAGTGGCTTACGCTGCACCACCCACAGCTCCATCCACACACACTATATCCAACGCAAACCGGAAGCAACAAGATTGGGAGGCATACCGATGGGAGCCATGATCGATTTGGGACTGGCCCACTCTCCTTCATCATGTGCATCCCGTTTGACGATTTCAACTAAAATTTTTCAAGAAATAGTACAAGATGCTGTTTGTTTATGTTTTCCCCCTGTGCCTTCACTGACTGCAGTTCTGATGCTGCCGAGGACCAATTATACCACGAACTGAATACGCAGCTTCGCAGTGTTACCAGTGTGGATATCGTTGTTGTTGTTGTTGTTGCTGCAGGGGTTATGAATGCATAAGTAGGTCGTCTGGACTCTTCAGAAGCCCAGCTAGGTGGTAAGTATGGACTTAACTCCGAACTGACAGACAACTGCGAACGTTTGTTGCAACTGTGCGCAGGGTCTCAGCTGTTTCTTAGCAGCCCCGCTTTTAGACACATTGGGCGCCAAAGTGCCACTTAGTGTCCTCCTTTAGCTGGACTGCGATAGACCCAAATGGATCACGTTGCCATAAGTTGCAGGTGGTGTGGTTGTATCCTGGATTGTCACTCGTTTTGGAGTACTTGCTTTGATTCCGACTATACTTTGGTACGCTGTCATTTTTCCATGAACTTTATCGGGAAGCGTACCAAGCGTCTCCCTCGATTGGCAACTGAGAGTGTTATGTGAATAGGCGAGGTAGAAACTTGCCAAGTGAGGAGTATAGCCCGAATGAATAGGTTATACTCCTCACTCGGCGTGTTTCTGCCTAGCCTATCCATATAAAATTTATTCGACAAGGAACTGTGATGAGTAAACATTCCATAGTATACACTGCAGTGAACCCTATAGGTTATTTCGTTGGGGTGTCTTTCGGATGGGGTGTATAAGAATCACTGGATTGACGCAATCCTGATGGTGCCAAGTTGTGCACTGACACAGTGTCTTCCCATCGGAAAATCGAATGTAAACATAGCGAAGATTGTAGTCCAATAGCTCAACGTCCCCCACTAGCGGCTCGTATTTTGTGGATCTCACATTACGGCGCATCAAGGCGGGTCCTGACACACTCAGCCAACTCGGTAGCGAGGCCCCTAATGTCGATTTATGGTTGTAACAGAACAGTCTTACACGATTAGTGGTGTTTGTGACGGTGCAAAGAAGAGAACGAATTGGATGCAGCGTATGTAGCAAAGTGCTTTCCCACCAGGTTATTGTTAGTGCAAGCGTAATCAATTTCCAGATGACACCATGAATCAGCTTCACTTACCCATTATCTTGGGGTTGCACGGCGTCGTCCGACTGACTATGATGCCTTTTTGAGTGAGAAAATGCCGCACTTCTTGGGACATGAGAGATGAACCGCGATCAGAACGGATGCAAAGCGGCATACTGAAGATAGCAGAAAGTTGGCTTAAACAATTAATCGCCATTAAAGCTGTCATGTTATTACCTTCATAGGCAAATGGGAATCTAGAAATTTCATCGACAATGGTGAACATATATTTTTTGTTTGTTGCTGGGGGTAAAGGACCCTTAAAATCTCTCGAAAGGGGGCATCACCTTAATGAGTGTTCCAAGTGGCTTGTAAAACGGGGTTCCAGTTTGGCACATACGCTGCGGGGAGATGTCATTGATTTCACTTCTTCTGCTGAGAAGGGTAGATTCCGTGGACAAATCAGACGAAACATTCTAGTAACCCCTGGATGACGGTGCCATGCAGTTCTTGTATCAAGGTATGTAGCTATGACGAGTAACATGTGCGCGATGAAGCGCTAGCATTCACGTTAGCTTTCCCGATCAGGTAGACCAAATTATAATTGTAGCAAGAGAGTTCAGTACGCCAACGTTGAGTTTCATCACTTTGACCTTACCTTTTTGGCCAAGGTTGAGCACGAACGAGACGGGCTGCTGATCTGAATTAATCGTGAAGCGATTATCGATGAGATAGTGGCACTATTTTCGTACTGACTGCGATGGCACGTGTCTCCTTCTCAACAACAGAATGGTGTCCTTCGCTGGGAACTAGCGTTCGCGGAAAGAGGGCTACTGGTCGTCCGTTCTGTGTTAGTATAGCAGCAATAACAATGTCAGTGACGTCCGTTTCAATGACTAAGAATACTGCTTCGTCAATAGAAACCATCACATAATTTTCTATTTCACTCTTGCGTGTTTCGATCAACTCCCGAATCGAAGTAGAGGGAAGCATCGGTCCTCGATGAGGGGTCGGATTTTGTAAAAGAAGTGAAAGATCCACGAGGAATAATAGGCAACAAGTCCTATAACATGTAGCTACGACTTGACCCCGGTGGACACAGGGAGGGATCTTAATGGTTGAATCCGGTCTGGGTCCGACCGTATAACCTCATGGGCAACTTCATAACCTGACAATCATATCTTCTTCCAACGAATAATTTGTTTTCTTGGTAGGTCAGGTTGGGGCGGTTTCGTAAAAATTTGCCTGATTACAATCATGTTCATCTTCGGTTGTCCCGCACACTGTTATGTTATCCATGTAAGCGAAAGTCGCTTTCAAGTTTTCGTCGATTATTAACAATAATTCTTTGCAAACAGGCTACCCCTTTGGTTCCACTGAAAAGTGTACGACAGAATTGGAAAAGGATTTCCGCATGCTTCACATACTCTGAATTTTCCGTTTCCATAAGAGGTATCTTATGATATGCACTCTTCAGGTCCAAGGGGCTATACACTGAGTGCCGTGATATTTTGTCGATAAGAGCATCGATTCTGGGCAATGGGTATGCGTCCAGGTGAGTATAAAGGTTGATAGTTTGGCTGTACACTATAAATGTGCGCTGTTTATGGCTTTCGTTCTTAGCTATCAAAACATGAGCTCGCCACGGCGATGTAAATGGTTCAATAATCCCGTCCTTAAGGAGCTTCTGTACTTCCAGCTGTAAGAATTTCTCCTGTCGCTGAGTGACATCTCGATTTCGTTGCGATGGGTTTGAAAGAGGAAGAATCATCCCCCAAACAGGGAGGGCGGAGCCACTTCAGCAGGCAGTAGAGCACACAGGGCGAGAGAAGATTGTTTACCGTAGAAGGGAATTTTGTCAACTTTGTGAAGTTTGAGAAAATTGTGTCCCGCAACTACATCTGAACAAGGATTCGCGAGTACGGAAAGTTTAATGTAATGACAGTTTTTAAACTGCACAGTAACAACACAATTACCGCTCAGGAAACTACTAGTTAGGTGGGTAATGACCATTGCAATTGTGGGAATTGACCCAAGAATTTTCCAATTGAAATGTCTAACAACCGTAGTGATGAGGTAACTTTCGGAGCTCCCCGTATCAACTGGCGCTTTCGTTGATGAACACCTCGATGACGACATGAGAGAGACTTGTTGGGGCTGCGACTGTGACAGCGGAGATATGACTCTGAACTACTGAAGCGTTGTTTTTGGTAGAAGTGCGGCAGACTTTTTGATAATGTCCTTTTCGCAACCGTTACAAACAATGTCACATGCAGGGCATTGGGACCGACTATGTCTCTTGAACCTGCAGAAAAATAGTTGTGCGACATGGCAGCGGTGACGTTCTTACCAGAGGGTGATGAGTCATATGTTGTTTGCAGTGGTTCTGACTGGCATGTGGTACTTGCACCATAGACGTTTTCCGATTGATATTACTGTGGCTGGCGGTAAGCCATTTCCAGGGATCGGGCCTGTTCAGAAGCAGCGTGGAGATCAAGCGACATTTTCCCAAAGCCTCTGATGTGTCGTTTGTGACTTCCGCCCAGTTACAAAGACATCTCGAATGGTATCCTCTCGATATTTCTGCCATTACCGTTTTGAAGTTGCAGTCCTGGACTACTGATCCCAACTTCTGCATGAATTTGTCTTAGGTTTCGTCCCCTTGTTGCTTGGCTCGAGACGTTACAGGACATGACTAGCAGTCGACACCAGTGACTTGTCTTCTGCCGTCTCCTAGTCCTATTGTCTGTTTAAAATGTGTTTGGTGCTGTGTTATTTGCGGGGTAATGGCTGATTATGACTCGGGGCAGTGAAAGCCGCAGGGAAGCTGTCTCGCCGATGCCGCCTTATCATTGCACGATAGCTAGCTATTCGTTATGCTGTGTTGTTGACAAGGGGTAAGCGCCTTGACGCTGAGTGTTTAGTGTAGTAATGTTTTACCGTAGTTCCCCTTTTCTCTCCCTTATTGTTCGTCGTTCCGTAGGTCGTTGTGCTTGTACGGCAGCGAAGCATCAGTTTAAGTGCCTGTTGTACTGCTGTTGATGATGATGATGCTTGTTGGTGGCAAGTAGGTGGCGTGCGAAGCTTTTTCCGGCTTGATGTATACATTCCTTAGTGTTTCGATGGCAAATCCGTAGGTTAGGCACTCTTTAATGTAATCATAAACATTAGCGGGTACGTAATTCTCGAGAATCCCCGATTCGTTAAACGTTAAGAAATCAACCGCGTCCAAAAATACGACAGTTGATTCACTGTTTCGCAGCTTTGGATTTGTTGGGGTCACCATCGAAACGTTCTGGTCGGAGAATGCGGTCCAGTACTTGCTTCGCATAACAAGAACTTTTCTGTCCTCGGTCAGGCAGGCCTGTCAGGATGCTTTGCGTATCGAATTTTCGCTCTCTTATCCTAATGATATTGAGCTTCAGTGGAATAGGATCTTGATCGCCATGCACATTGCGGAAGCCTCTGCGTGTGGTACTATCAGTCGTCACCGCACCAGTCAATTGATATCCGAGAGGTCGGTGAACCTATTGGAATCCGGAAGAATATTCCCGTTTGGCTCTGATCACTATTAGGCGCGAACTAAAACGGAGCCTGCGTGCTGACAGTGAAGGCTGATGGACCAGTCGGGCTCAACAAATGGAGGAGTGGGGAGCCGTGTGCAATTATCACAAGCTCTTCCAATTGGTTCTCACCATTGGTCCCAGAAAACCAGGCGTCAGTGAGACAATCAGATACACTGCGGGTGCCCTGATTCGCAATAACGAAAACCGTATGGTTGGGTGGGCGGCGCACTTTCAACATCAGTTCAGTGGTCCCCCCTGCTTCTTGACCTCTTCTTACTCATTTGATGCAGGATGAGTTATGGACGGTTAACTTAGAGACTCCATCGGATGTTGAGATCTGAAACGCGATTGCACCCATTGCTCGTTTTCGTGCTGCTAGGCTGGATTCCCTCCCATCTGCACTATTTAAAGATCGTGATGAGGTTCTATGCAAAGCACTGACCTGCATATTTGAACATGTCTGACAGAGACTATCCCGGCTAACTGGAGTGAATCGATTATGCTGGCAATATACAAGAAAATCGCTCGCACCGACTATGCTAACCACAGGGTTATTAGCCTAACGCCTGTTGTGACAAAAGTACTGGCCTCGATTCTCGTTTGTCACCTCAGTACGGAACGGGAAGGGCGGGTAGGTTTCTGCCCAGGACAGGGTTGTATAGACCGCATATTCCCTTTGCGGCAAGGGCTAGAGCGGCGCCACGCATACCACAGACCGACAGCGGCTGTATCTCGACTTCAAATGTACTTTCGACTCAGTCGATAGATGCATTCTGTTCGAAATACTTGTGCGGAATGGTGTTCCCATGAAATATGTGAACATCTTGCGAACTCCATAGTCGAACACGACAGGTCGCCTCAGGGCCTGCGGTGACTTCTCGGATATCTTCCTCACGACAAGTGGCATTCGTCAGAGTAGCTCAGTTTCCCAATTTTTGTTAAATTTCCTCTTTGGCTGCATTATGGATTGTTCTCTTTCGGAATCTCGTGACGCAGATATTGAGTAACTGCCTGATCTTTATTTTGTGGACGATATCGCCTTGTTGTGTAACGACGATGGAATGGCCCACTCAACCCTGAATAACCTCTACGGTGGTCGCATTATTTACTATGCGCTTCGCACCTTCAAAGTGTAAAGGGTTGCTGCAGGACCATCAGCCTCTTGATGACACGTTGACCCTTGATAGCGAAGAACTCGGATTAGTTGATCAATTCACTTACTTTGGCAGCTGCGTCAGCAACGATGGGCACATAATCACCAAAGTCACTTCACATTTTGAAAAAGCCGGAATTGTCTTTCTTGCGTCCGCGACATTTTTGGCGTCAGCAAGGGCCGTGTTTATGAGGCTGCGGTGAGGGTCATCCTGCTATATGGTAGTGAAACTTGGCTCCTTCGACCTGAGATTCTGAGGCGCCTTCAAGTCTTTGATCATCGCTGTCTGTGGAGCATTGCTGTTATCGGGTGGCACCAGCGTGTCTGCAACGATAATGTTCATGGGCGAGTGCTAGGCAGTGATAAGAAGCTAGCTCCTTAAAACACCAGATAGCACTGAGTAAGCTGCGCTGGCTTAGGCACTTACTACGTATGTCTGGTCACCGCTTACCGAGGAAGGTCTTGTTTTGTCTGCCAGATGTAGGGTGACGTTAGACTTTAGGTGGGCAGAAATTAACTTGGTAGCGGGAAATGAAGTCAATGACTACCCAACTCAGCGCAGTCGATCATTCTCAACTTCTGGGCTGGAGTCCACGGGACTCGCCTTGTGCCTGGCTTGTGACGTTATAGGACTGACTTATAGTCGACACCAGTGGCGTGTCTGGTGTCGTCTCCAAGTAGGATTGCCTGTTTTAAGCGTCTTTGGTGCTGTGTTATTTACGGGGTAATGGCTGATTATGACGTGGGACAGTGAAAGCCGCAGGGAAGCTGTCTCGCCGATGCCGCCTTATCATTGCACGATAGCCAGCTGTTCGTGATGGTATGTTGTTGACAAGGTGCAGGCATCTTGACCCTGAGTGTTTGTTTAGTGTAGTAAGGTTTTACCATAGGTCCCCCTTCTCTCTCTCTTATTATTCTTCCTTCTGTTGGTCGTTGTGGTTGTACAGCAGCGAAACATCAGTTCGAATGGCTGATATACTCTTGTTGATCCTGCATCATTCATTCTGTCCAGGGGAAACCTACATACATATTTTTATACACGGCGCGACTAGGCCGTAGCACGTTCCATACAGGATGATGTCGCTTTTTGAGCCTAGCACCGTCAAAAATATTGCACCCCGGGTCACGTAGCAACAAGCGAAGGTCTCTTTGAACTAGTAATCGGATTAGCAGCTTTCGACACGTAGGTTATTTGCTGACATTCATATCCAGCGCTGCCAGACCGAGGATATCAGTAGGTAAACAACTAATACTCGGGCAAGCAAACACAGGGGCACACGGACTAACTGTAGAGATGACGTAGCACACGTGTCGCATGTCGTAATGGCCCCCCTTTGAATCAAACACGTGGTCCGGGCCTTGATCAACTTTCTGTTGTTCAAAGAACACAAGCTTATCTTATATCTTGCATCAATCAGAATCAGTCACAAATTGATGCATCTCATCTGATTGTTCTTCCCGTGGCATCCACTTGAGTTCTGTTCTTGCCATTCAAACCGTTTGTCAACACGCTCATCCCTGTTCTATTTGAGGTTATTGACACGAGCAACCAAAAGATCTGCCTGGGGTCTGCTGTTTACCTGCTAGCTGTCACCACATCCTCTTTCTTTCATAGTTCTTGTGTTGCAGTTTCTATATCCTTGTCCATTGTGGATGAGTTTTCAGTCTAGCAGCATGACACTCGCAGTTAGATCACGTCGGACGCCATACCTATCGCGTACTTAATTTGGATGAGTGGGATGGCATCGAGTAAGAAGGATTGTAAATTGTTACCACACTGTTATAACAAGTCGTCCAGGGAATTACGGTAACACTTCTTAAGGTTTTGTAAGTCACTTTGCATCTTCATCCTTCCCGCATTTTTCCGGATTCCGCTGCAAAGTCCACGCATGACCACTTGCTGCCATAGGTTTTTGTGCTTGTGTACCCCAGATACCTTATTTCTCTTCCATATCTCCTTCATCGCTTCTTATTTTAGCTGCACTGCAGATGACTGCCACTCGCAGTAATCTGCAACGTGAAGTCCTACGATTATATCGAAACTTGCTTCGAGTTGTATCGCCAAGGATAGAAGGTTTAACGGAAGAGAGAGTCGAACCGTCCATCCGATTGAACCTACTGAGGTTTATACGCACAGAGTTTCGCCGACAAGCGTGTCTCTACAAAAGGACAGACATACTTCAGATTGAAGCGGCTCTTCGTAGGGGCCACCGTCGACTGGAAGACTTGAGGAGTGGTACAGTCGATAGCATTTCACACATACGGCCGAAGAGGGAAGCAGAAAGGCGTTGAGGATGCCTCCACCAGCCCCTTCACCGATTCTACTTCGTCGCCTGATTTTCAGTCTGTTCCCCGCACTGGATAGTGGTCTCTTGGGCGCTTTTGCATATGGCTCAGTTGCTTTTCCACAGCATGGTAGATCTGCGGCAGATTCCCAGCTAGATCTAATTCTGATCGTTTTGGATCCGCTTCGCTGGCATATGGACAATATTCAGCGCAATCCGCTGCATTACAATTATCTCATTCATCACAGTCTTAAAACATTTCGAACACCATTTGTGCTGGAAACTGTTCTTTCCAAATGCCCTGGTCCACAGATTTATTTCAATCCATTTCTGACTTGGTACGATCCAGTCAAGCAACAGCAAGTATCTATCAAGTATGGCGTTGTCGGCCTACACAGCGTCATGCGTGACCTCAAATTTTGGTCCGATTTGTATATAGCTGGTCGTTTGCACAAACCTGTTCTCTGGGCACCTTTTCGCAACGATGTGGCGGACAGTCAATCCGAGCTATGTGATAAATTCAAAATCGCTCAGCAGAACAATCTTTTGGCTGCAGTGTCTTATGTTCTTCTCAACTTACCTCCTAATACTGAAATCCTAGAAGAGCCTGACCTATTCCATTCACTTGCGTCTATTTCTTATGATGGTGACTGGCGCATGCTCGTGGGTGAAGACAAATACAAAGTTTCCCGGTTGGTGACCGGAGCAGATAGACTGTTCCGTTTTCGTCAACTTTACAAGATGACGTTTACTCATCCAACACTAAGCAACCTTGTTCGCCTAATCCCGGCCACGTCCGATCTCGACGGACCATATTGTTTGTGTTTTTCTCAACCTCTAGACTCTACCGAAGTGATTTCCCGCCTTCTCCACAATCTACCACATCGCTTTTGTGATGAAGCTGTTGCACTGGGAGGCATTAGCGACAACACACTGTCCTCCTACGATGTGTTACTTCGAGCAACTGACGAACAGCGCCGTCTTTGGTTAAGGCGATGTGCTGCACGCACTGTGAGACGTTCCAGCATCAAACAGACAGCTTTTAGCATGTTTACAGCTGGTCCAGCACGCTCTTTTGCATATGCTAAAGCCAAACTGCGCAAAATGTTTGCAAGTTTGGGTGTCTTGAACTGGAAGTAGCTGTTTTAAATGCTTGAGCATTATTTCTTGTTCCTCAAACTTTATTTCTAATTGAGCGTCTGAAAAAACGTCAAGTTCCTTTCGTTATATTTCCTGCTGCGCTGTACTATATTTTTAACGTACGGTCGGAATCTCTGTGATGTCACCTAGATCCATATGCGAATATTTCGTGGAGATCATCGCAAGGCCCACCCAGAGCTCCCCATATTGTAACCGATTATTCTGTAACTACTTTATCACTTTTACTGATGAATGCTCGTCTCTCGGATCTGAATAGAAAGTACGTTGACCGTCTGTAGCTTGAAATCGCCCTTACCTGCACTATTTCATACCTGGTGTGCTTTGCCATATCCACTTCCTCATCGTTTCTACCCATACTTTACAGTTGTAGGGTATCGATTATAAGCTTGCCGTTATGATCACGACGATACGATGTACTAACTGCTGGCGATGAATTCTTTTCGCATACAATGCTTTCATTCATTCATTTCGCAAGTTAGCTAGAGGTGAGAAACTTCTCGGCTATTGGACCACAATACAATTCAACTAAGTGATTGTAAAAAACACAGTGCTGCAAAGAGATCTCTTTTCGGCAGTTCACATCAGGCAAATACAACTACAGGACTGAAAAATGCATTAGTAAACTGGTGCAAGCAACAATGAGGACGGATGGGACGATTTGAACAGTTTTAGCATGTTCATTTGATGCTGGAATCGATTTAATCAGGTGACATCGTTATCGGGCTAACCGACAGCTAAATAACTTGTGTAAACAGAGAAGGCAAAATTACTAAGCAAATAAAATTAGTTAATTACGCAAATAAATAGCACCCGGTTAAGCGAGATACTCCGGGGAACCTTATCATCAGGGCCATGGCAAAGTCAAGGGTTGCACAAGCACCCTATGCTTGCATAGCTCTGGTTGTGTTAGCCGGATCGCGATGGCTTCGGCTGTCTGCAGGAGGCGTTTCCTTAGCCATTTCGGGTATCGCCTCGGTACGGCGTAATAGACTTTGTAAAAAAAACGGAAGTAGAAGTAAAACAAAGAATACGCGTTGTTTTTATTACGCTTCATTAATCCGACCGTGATTGGCGGGGAGGATAAGGAGGAGAGAGGGACAAAGTGATTCACAGTGCAACCGGGGCTTTTCGATCGGCTGTTATCAGTTTCCTTGAATATCGTTTTTACAATATCGCTACGGATACATTACTTTTCCTGGAACATTACAACATTGACCTTTTTCAAACTATATCCAAGGTCATCACTGCCATTCTTTGCTTTCTTTTTGAGAAAAACTCAACATACTACGCACTTGAGGATGGACCGTCCTGGTTAGCAATCTAACTTGCAACGCTGTCCTGTCAACAGAATGTCGTTTTAGATTATTCTGTCCACAAATGTTTACTTGTGGTTCGTTTATACTGACTGTTTATTAAAATGACACCTGCTAGCAGTGTTCTTTTTCATGCAACCATTTCCTTTTGGAAACGTTGAAAGAGCAAGAACAAACAACATTTGTGCGTGACAACCTGAATTCAGCTTATTTCATGTCCTCTCATTCAGCTGCTGAAGACAAATCGTGGAAGGAGTAATGGAATGCATTTGAAAAGGAGGTCAATAAGGAAATCAATAAAGCACAGAATCTTAAGATCATCGCCTACGTCTTTCCAGGGCAAGGCAAGACTGGTCACAAGATGGAGATGTTTGCATTGATTAGGCTTCATTCACCGGATGGCGGAGGCTTCAGCAAAACGAAGCAAGCTCGCGTTACTTTGTCTGCTGAGAACCTTGAATGTTTCACATTGGGTTTCACACAAATTTACAGTACTGATAATGTACTTTTAGCTCATCCTTAGTCGATGTAGTACAGTGCTGAAACTGTGTCCATCTGGATACACATAGCTTATTTTGACTTGGCACTGTGATCGAATCCCGCCCATACCAGAAAGTCTCTCCAGCCAAACGTGGTCATCTTTCGGACCATAACCAGGGAGTCTGTATGTACCAACATAGGCCATAGTCGAGGTGAGTGCCCTCGTTCCTCTTAAACAAATCATTGCTTGGCTTCCCATACTCTTCCTTCCTCCACACTACCGGCGCGCAGATGACGCACGTCACGGTAATTGGTGTTTTGAATACATACTGCACGGCTCAACCACAGGAGCCTGGTCCGTGAACTAACGGTGCTGAGCGATTCCCCTCCACTTACTCCAGAAAAACGGCGGCAAACACGGTTGTTGTTGTTGTTGTTGTCGTTGTTGTTGTTGTTGTTGTTGTTGTTGTTTACACAGTGTTCTCCACAGCTATGTGGTAAACTGCGAAGGCACCAGTGGTTGTCCTTCACTGGGCGCTTTATGTCGGTTGATTGGAGGGACCAAGTTTCGCAATCATACAGAGAGTTGAGGGGATAGCCGCGTTGTGTAGTACTATTCACGGTGAGCGTGATGTCACGCCGGCGCCTTAAGTGATGAAGATTGACAAAGCCCCTCGACTTTTTTCCATCCAATTGGCGATCTCATCATCTACACTGTATGCCTTGTATAGCTACATGGGTGGTTAAATTTTTCCACGACATCTAGCTGCTTCCTACCATTGGTCAGTGCAGGATGTTGTTCTTGCCAATTCCGGAGGAAGACCTTTTATTTTAGTGTTCTATGCGTAACCTAAAACGGTTGACAGCCAGCGCTGCTTAGAAGGTTTGTAGTATGTCACAGACTAGAGCAATATCAGCGGCTTGTTCTAAGTTTAATGATCCATCACATGAGATCAAATCCACAACTTCCAAGGCGAGTCCGACGGATGCAGTTTCCATATCGGCAACAGCGAGCTTGAAATTTGAGAATACTGAATACTGAGAATAGAGAGCGAGAAGGTAAAAATCTTTGTTGCTTCATCGTAAGTGGTTCGGGCACATGCGCAGAATCACGTCGCTGCTTCCTGTACGGTGACAGCCTTTGGGCATGAGCTACATCTTATCCAGGTGCGATGCGCTTCCTATACCTGGAGTCCTCAAAGTGGGCATCGAAGAATCTCTTAAATTCCGACACCGGTTTCGCCTCGACTAGCGTCTTTGGCAACCTGTTCCAATATTTCATCACTCGACGCTCGAAGCATAGAGGATGGGCGATGGACCATACAGCTCGGAGATCCTATGCTGCATGCAGCCATCCAGGAGCGCGACATTGAAGTATTAATTCAGGCTGAACAATCTAAGGTGTCAAAGACTAGCAACCAATACGTTGGTATCCTGCGGAGGGCGTTCGGTCGTTTTGCTCCATCTGTCTGCCCATAGATGCTTAGCACCTACGTGCGATCTCATGTGGAAAACACTGTCCAGATCTGGTAGCCCTGGCACAAGAACTCACAGCGATCGAGACTTCACCACGAAGAGCCACCAAGCACGTCAAACGATTGTTCCTCCTTTCATATAAACGTAGGCTGATGACCATAAGATTGTACAGCGGTCAGTAGCGACGCCTACGTGGCAACCTAATAATGCCCCACCACTAATATAGAGTTGAATATTGGTCGCCCAGATTGTTCAGTCGATGGTCAGAGCGTTCGTTGTGCGATCTCCGATGCACACTCGCTAACGCTTCACCACTCTATACTACCGCACTTATGACGTCACCTCGGATGGTAGTGAAATGTTCGCAGCGAAACTGCCGAGGTCAGTGAACACCCCGACCGTCCAACGCCCTACCAGATTCTGTAGAGCTCCAACCATGTCTGCCACCACCTAAAGCAGCTTAGCCGCATCACAAGCCTGTGAGGCGAATGGTTCAAGTTGGTCACGCAATTCATCCAATCAGAATGTCTCAGCAATTTTTACCTTCTTCGTATCTGCTAACCATGGAACACCCTCTCCAATTACGTTTTCTCCGATCCCTCACTATATATGTTAACAAACACCCTAACATTGCTCTGACCCGCTTGCGTTACGAAATATATTCCGTGTACATTGCGACATGATTTAACGTGACTACCTGTGCCCTAACCAGCATTATCCTACACAATTGAAGTAACGTAGGACTAGTTACTACTGATCCGAGGCGATGTGCGTAGTCGAGCGCGGATCTGAGAAGGTACACGAAGTCGAACACAGCGGATTATATTCGGGAGGCTACAAAATGAAGTGAACGGATGAGGCTGAACAGCAACAAGCGTCAGCAAAGTAATTCACGGCGCAGCTGAGTGTTGAGCCGAATGTAAGCCAACATAGTCTTACTGTGTGAGAAGGGTTAAACAATAGAGAAAATGTACAACTGATCAGCGATAACGTTGTACAGAGCTACAGGCTCCCCCTTAGGTTGTACAGAAAAAGCTTTCGATAATGAAAACGATGGGTTAGTAGAGGTTCGTAAGGCAGAATAATACCGAGTGAAAATGAGTGCTATTGTTTGTCTCGAGAGAGGTTTCGTCTGTATACAAGGTTTGCTGCGCCGTTTGTGTATTATTACTTATTGAATCGCAGGACGCGGTACGTCATGGCGAGCCGTTAGAGGGGGTTTGTCGGACTAAAAAAACTGGCTAGTCCAGTAAAAAGCCAATAATACATCGACCTCCGCTGCTGCCAAACAGTACGCTTGAGAGTGGCCGGTCTCCCCGCCGCTCCGCACCAAAACGATCCTCGTCGCATGAAGAGCGTCCAGCTTTCGTGTTGGAATCCTCCTTGACTGCGGCGATCCTCGAACGCGTCACTTGTGATGGCCAGTCGATTGAAGGGATGGGTTAATGCATGTAGGGACGAAAAAGAAAAACGCACACAGAAAGGGCCAAAAGGAACGAACGAGTGGCTTGTGTGCTAAAAGTTTTAGATATACTAGGTTTTTGGATTTTTGAAAGAGTTTTTCGGTGTTTTCGATGTTTTTGTCTTCCAGGCGTTAATCAACAAAAACGGAAATTATATACAACATTTACAAACATAAACCTATTTAAACTGTACAAAGTCGATAAAACAAACGGGCTTTAAAACCTCACAACCACGGCATTTTGTTGTGGGAGGCGATGGATTAGGTTCGGGAGATGTCGGGACGGCTTATGCCTTGTAGATCCGTATGGTAGTTTGGTTCAGTGACGCTAGGATGCTGAAAATTGGCGCGGTTATTTCTAACGTCGCACGATGCATTTTTAGACGATAGATGTGAGGTAGTTTCCTTCATAAAAACTGATTTTAGGCGGTCAGTGGTGACGATTTTGCGTCTTTCATCGCAGTTGTTTGTAAATGTTTTACTTGTATGTTTGATAAACTTCAAGGGCCCGATATACGGCGACTGCGGAGGTTGTCGCACACCGTCTACACCAAGCAGTACGCGTGAGCATGTAGCCGGTTTTTTCGCGTATGTACGCCGGCGTCTTCTGCAACCGTGAATCGAGTGGGCGCCGCTCGCACATCTGGTGAACTAACCGATCATTGTAACTCCCGTAGTCGAAGAAGGAATTAGACGGTGCTGTTGCTACTATCTGTTCCAGCAAACGCGACGTGCAGTTGTAGACTAGCTGCATTGGTTTTACGTTGAACTCGGTTTTAACCGTGTTCCTAAGGCCAAGGAGGACAGGA